TCCTGTCAAATCAACGCAGTTCAAACACAGGGACAAACGACAGACACCAGAGAACAGCTCCATTTTTTTCTTTTATCTGGAGATACCTTTTTTCAGAATATGAAAGTAGGATTTTTCTAAAAATTTCCATCGCTATTCTTAGCCTCCTCGCCAGGAGCGCAGTACTTACGTCTTTAGTGTTCCAGAGGTCATCAATTCGGTAACCAGCACAATGCACCTCTTGCCTTTTACACAGGATTCCCAGAAGTCATAAAATCTCACAATGTTTGGATGCTGCAGACCTTTCAACATTTCTGCTTCCTCTTTAAATCTCTGCCTCTCTACTTTTGTGAGTTTTCTGTCCTATAATCCAAAATAAGATGTTATTAGTAGTGAAGGGACAAAACTAACATAAAGGCACTGCACTGCTAGGGTATTCAGCATTTTAGATTTGTGTTATGCTTGTATCAAGACCAATTTAAAAAATCTTTTATGTAAGAGATGAGCAGCGTGTATGAACTAGGACGCTTGCCTTAAATCCAGTGTCAAGGAGACAAAGGCTCGCCTCTGCACAAAGGGACGCCTGTGCCACACCACGCTACAGGACAGCATTAATATCTCAAGCAACACACACACCCCCGTGGCTTGGCAGATCAACAGGCAGCTATTTACTTCTTGTTTTGGCTTTGTCAGGCTTGTTAGCTGATGGATTAGCAGACGCAGGGTGCCTGTCCCAGGTAGGACTCCCAGAAGCTGCTGCTGCTTTTGCAGCCGGGCCTGCTCCCCGGGTCACTCCCCAGGGCAGTGACCAGCAGGCCAGGGCCCCCGGTGGCCAACCCAGGCCATATAGCCCAGCCCATTTCTCTAGGGACCAATTAAATCAATATCCCCCTCCAAAAAAAAACCCCACACATAAATTTTTCTATTTGTTCACTGTTCTGCCTGATTTTGCAAACTTTAAAGTCAAGAAAAGGAGGATTCAAAGCCATCCTTCAGCCTTTTCTGTGGGCTGCAGGCTGGCCGCATGGAAAAGCTTATTCTTTCAGATTAGAAATGTGAGGAATGTCACATTCTGCTGCTGGCAGAGCCCCTCTCCTCCTCCCTGCAGGTCAGCAGGAGCCTGGACCCTGTCAGCGACATGGAGGGCTCTGCAACCAGCATCTTGGGGCACGCCCCAGCCTCTTCTGACAACCCAAAAGAGCAAAACAGGCGCCTCGCCAAAGACCATGCCACCACAGCCTGGTGATCCCCCCTGGACGGCTGGTCAGGCTGGGAGCATTTCCCTCCGCTGCCCTAGAAATGAAGCTTTTTTGTTCTTGAACAGGCAGGCACAGTTGTGTAACTGTTCTTACTTACAGAAACAAAGGCTCACAAATCACTAAGATTAACTGGCTCATATTTGAACCTTGGACATTTTCCTTTCCTCTGTTCACTCAGGCATGTTTATAAGAGCATATACGTAGTGAATTAAACTGGCACCCAGCTGATTTGTAACCAGGATGCAGAGGGATCAGGCCACTGCTGTTTTGACAGCCTGCCCTCATCTGCCATCGCAAAGAACTCAATGTGGGAATGGGAATTTCCGTGGCTACAGACAAGTCAGCTTTACACAGAGGCTCCATGAGAGCAAAGCCTGGGTTGAAACGATGATGCTTTGGCTCTTCCTGGACGACAGAGAACCTGCTTCTCCAGCAGTGTGCATGCACTGGAGGAGCATTTCCATTTTTCACCGCAGCTGCTGAGGAAGGTCTCAGTTTTCTTTATATTTTACGGAGTAGCATCAGAGGTAACATTGCCCTGAGGCCACCTGGGCTGGCATAGCAGGGCGCCCCATGGGGACCGATGCCTAGGGCTCCCCATGAGGACCAATGCCTGGGTCCCCAGGGGCAGCCAGGAGCACCCGCGCCCAGTGGCGCTGCCAGGGACAGGCAGGCAGTAGCATGCTCAATGCCAACAGCTGAGAGCAAGACAGTGCTCCTGCTGCTCTGTAGCAACTGCATTTCTTCCAAGTTAAAAAAAAAATAGCAAAGAAAAAAAATAGCAGGCTGTCTAATGAGCCAGGACAGAAGAGCCTGAGAATTGCTTTCAAATCCATCACTTCTTCCCCTACTGCTGAGTTTCGTCTTAATTTAAACCATGTAGAATAAATCAGACACACTGCTATTAGGGAGGAAAAGGAACGAGTCCTTGTGTGAGACAGGAAG